AGATATCCGAAACACAGGGCCAACTTAAGGCAATGCTTCTGGGATACAAGTCTTACTGAAGATTGACTGTCTGAAAGTTGGATATCCGAAACACAGGGCCAACTGAAGGCAATGCTTCTGGGATACAAGTCTTACTGAAGATTGTCTGAAAGTTGGATATCCGAAACACAGGGCCAACTGAAGGCAATGCTTGGGATATTAGCTTTCTGGGACTAACCTCTTTAGAACAAGTCTTACTGAAATTTGACTTCAGCTGAAAGACCAGCGTTCTTAAAGAAGACGTATATCCGAAACACAGGGCCAACTTAAGGCAATGTTTCGGATAATGGCTCTCTGGGATACAAGGCTCAGTTAAGGCAATATCCCAGGATTGTCCATGGACTCATGTCTTTGGAGAACAGGTCTTACTGATGTTTGATTTCAGCTGAAAGACCAGTGTTCTTTAAAAAGACATGAGTTTTGTAAGCCATCTGAAACCCAGTTACCCGAAGGCGAAGGTTTCAGACGAGGTTGATTTAAAAATTTTCAACTGTTGCTGTTATCCTTGATTTTCTGGCTATCTTTGAAAAATGGATACCCGAAACACAGGGCCAACTTAAGGCAATGTTTCGGATAATGGCTCTCTGGGATACAAGGCTCAGTTAAGGCAATATCCCAGAATTGTCCATGGACTCATGTCTTTGGAGAACAAGTCTTACTGAAGTTTGACTTCAGCTGAAAGACCAGTGTTCTTTAAAAAGACAGGTTTTGTCAGCAATCTGAAACCCAGTTACCCGAAGGCGAAGGCTTCAGACGAGGCTGAATAAAAAACCCTCAAAGAGTAGATAGAACAAAGAAAATTTTGAAAGGATAAACAGTTGTAAATTTTATATAAATGGCGGCTCCAAGGCCTGTCATTAGTTCAAAATGTACTTACAAAGATTGTTCTGCCCCGAAGGGTTTACACATGGTATTTTTTCAGTACATCAGCATTCCAGTGATTCTTCAACTCAGTTCCATCCAACTGCCGAAGTCGGTATGTCCCTGGCTGAAGCTCATCATAAATTTCATAAGGTCCCTCCCATGTAGCTGAGAGCTTCCCATGGATTCGGCCTTTCTGAACTGCAGCAGCATTCCGAAGGACAAGATCCCCAATTTTGAGAGGCCTTGCATGGACCCTTCAGTTATGGGAGATGAGGTCTGAACTTATCCCGGGCATATCAGCTGCCGAGAAAGCAAACACATCTCTGTTATCCCGCAGGAGCTGAATAAGTTCACAACGGGTGTTAGGATCAAGGTCCATCCCGATTGTTACACATTTCTCAGCATCTCCTTCGGCCAACTCTGCTGTTTCAGTCTGTTGGTCCATGTCCATTGCTGATGGACTGGACTCTTCAGAATCTGGTCTGCTGCCAATGTCAGCAGGTGTCCCAGTCTTTGTGTTCTTCGGCTGGCTCTCTGAGTCTTTCGGCTCAGATGAAGAGTCAACCTTTTCCCTTTCGGGACCTTTTTCTCTGGGCACTGATCCTTGGGCCGAAGCACTTAGGCCTTTCGGCTTTTTTGTGCTTGGCTCTCTTTCTTTTTCTTTCTCCTCCTCATCCTTGTCGTTATCTGGGCGACTACTGGATGGCTTGAGGTAGTTGCACCTTCGGGCGTCCTTCTGGTTGCCCTGTATCCTTTCGGGGAAGCCGGCGTCTGAGACATAAATCATCAGCTGATGATAAGTTGAGACGACCCCTTGGATCTCGTGAATTATGGGTCTCCCCAAAATCACGTTGTACACTGAAGGAGCGTCGATGACCAAAAACTCAATCATGACGTTCCGGGCTGCCTCATCGCAACCGATGGTGACAGGAAGTGTCACCTTCCCATCTGGATAAGTTGAAGCCCCATTGAACCCGGATACCGGATAGGGTACCGGCGTAAGGTGCTTGGGCTTCAGCTTAATTTGGTTGTAGGCCTTTCGGAACAGAATGTTTGCTCCGCTGCCACCGTCAACAAGGACCTTACTGACGTCGTGGTTGGCCACCGTGGCGATGATCACCAACGGATCCTCGTGAGGGAACGTAATCCCCCGGCAGTCGGCGGCTGTGAACGTCATGTTCGGCACCGGCGACTGGGGAGATTGAATGTCAGCGTTGTTCACCTGGTGAGTCAAAGCTCTAAGGTGACGCTTGTGCTCCCTCCGAGAGTATATTCCTCCCGAGATAACATTGATCGGAGGGAATTTCCCCTCCGGTTTTTTACTGTTTTTCCGGGGGAAATCAAGGTCCTGCCGAGAGTCCTTTGCTAACCTCTCGGATTCTTTTTTTCTCGCGGTGATCCGCGATGTATTTTTTCAAGTATCCCTTCCGGACCATGTCTTCTATCTGGTCCTTCAGCTGGATACACTCTTCAGTGTTGTGGCCCGAAGACTCGTGGAACTCACACCACTGATTTTTATTTTTTTGCTGATACCACTCTGGGAGTGGTCTCGGCTTTCGGTAACTCTGCTCCTCCTTCGTCACACTGTAAATTTTGGCGCGTGGAAGAGAGAGCGGAGTGTAGGACTCGTATCTGCCTGTGTATGAGGCAAACCTGTCCTTCTTTAGGTCGCTGGCCGAAGATGGCTCCGAGGCCTTTGATTTTCCCTTTGCCTTATGGCCTTGGCCTTCAGACAAGGGTATTTGCCTCTGTTTCCCTCCCCCGGATTGAGGTTGGGTTTTTGCTTTATTCCATTCTTCGGCTCGGATGAACTTATCCGAAGCACTAAGAGCTTCCTCCAAGGTTTGCGGGGTATGCATGACCATGAAGTCTAGGAATTTTCCTGGCTGAAGGCCATTCTGCATTGCAAAAACAGCTAGCCCCTGGTCCAGCTGAGAGACGCTTGATGACTCGTTACTGAAACGGGTCAGGTAGTCTCGGAGGCTTTCGGTTTCCCCCTGTTGCAGACCCATGAGCTCTGCGGTAGTCTTCTCTCGGCGGTTTGCCGTGGAAAACTTGCTCCTGAACTTGGAGGACAGATCATCCCAACCTGTTATGGAGCCTTGCCTTACTCCCTTGGAGATCCACGCTTGCGCGACCCCCTTGAGAGTGGTTGGGAAATATTTGCACCAAGTCGCCTCGGATCTGGGGCAAAGATGCATATGAGTCTCATACGAGGCCACGTGGTCCTTCGGATCCGTGGTCCCGTCATATGTGATATGCGACGGTATTTTAACCGTGGGTACGCGCTCTTCTAGTATCCATTGCTCGAATGGTGAACTAGCGGGAAGCATAATGGCCTTGCCCTTGTTCCTGGCCGAAGGGACCGCGCTCCGCCCTCTCAGAGAGGTAGGAGTGGTTTTCGTCCCTGGCTGGGAAGTCTGGGCCTCGGCTGCAGGGAACGTGAGGCGACTACGCACGCTCGGTTCCTGGCCGCCGAGTCGGTCAAGGACGCTTCTGCGAGCAGTCTCAGGTTCCCGGCGAGTAGATTCTGGCCGAGAAGCTGAGCTGCTGCTCTTATGCGCTGCTGGTCTTGAGGATGAGGATCCTTTAAATAATTGAGAGTTCTTCTTCCTCTGTTTTTCATTTTTCCAAGAATCCTCCTCCCACTCTTCCAGTTCCCGGAAGGAAGGAAGCTTCCCACCGTCATGGTCTAACTTCCTCCGCTGATGCCGGGTATGCGGAGGAGTTCGATCACGAGGCGGTGGCATATTCTGTGCCCTCATTGCCTCCATGAGTACTGCCAGCGCTCTTGCCACCTCCTCCGAACTGGGCCCCGTCAAAGGGGTCCCCGGCCGAGTGTGGTAATGAGGCCGTGCAGCCGATGGTTGGCTTTGGGACACCGAATATGTCCTATGATCAGACTGACCCCTGCTAGACCGAGAGTGGTCCGGCCTATATTGGGAGTCATGCATTATAGGAGATAGGGAATTCTCCTTGTGTGATCCTCCCCCGAGCCGGCACCCTTGGGAGAGTTCCGGTCCGGCGAGGGCGATGGTGTAGGGGTTTTAGGCTTTTCGCCCGCTCCTTGACGGAGGCTTTTGCTCTTGCGGTTCTTAGCCATGGCTGCTAAGATAATTGCAAGATGATCTTGGTTAGGAATTTGGCTTAAAGATTTTTGAAAGTCTTCCCCACAGACGGCGCCAAATTGTTTCGGTTGAAAACAATGGGACCTTGCCGAAGGTCCACTAAAATGGAGAAGACTGGATTCGATCCAAGCTGTGTTGGGCCGAAGGTTTCCTGCACAGTGAACACACGTAAACTAGCCTCGGGGGTGTTTCCGAGGAAGGCCCCTCCGATGCTAAAGTCAGTACAATGTGTAAAAAGGAAGACACTATGCAAGAGAGTTTGTAGCTTGAGGCTTTTGTGGAGTATTTCTCAATGCAAGAATGAGCATATGAGTTGGAATAATCCGTGTATGAGATAATGTATGTGATGATGCATGTGTTGTTGTGTCTGATAGTGTATATGATGTTATGAGATGTCTTATGTAAGAATATGACTCTCTCCTTGAATGTGTTAATATGAGGGCTTTTATACCTCATCATATTTGGAGAGGTTGGGCTTTAGCCCAATTGGCTTACTTTGTGGGCTGACTTTTGAGCAATTGGAGAGTTGAACCTTGACCTTGGGCTTTTAATTGGATCATTTAGTGCTCAGGCCCAATTTTGACTAAATTGGACCCAAACAGGCGGTAAATCACAGCTATATGAAAGAGGGTATGAAGAATGTACGATTTGCAACAACGATCGTAGCTTTGCTTATGAAATGTTTTTATTTGATTCAATTATTATGTATTCATTAAATCTAAATCTCTTTGTAGATGTCGTATGACTTTATTTATGAATCAATTTTATTTCAAAAAATAAATAAATAAATAAATAAAGTAGACATTGTAATAAATCTAGCAAAGTCAATGCACGACTATATTAGGATAAAACAATAAGTGCAATTATACTCGTATTGGAAATATAAAATGCATTTATACAAGACCCCATTATTTTCTATTTAAGGAAACCCTTAAACCAAAGGTAACCTTACCCTTTATAGTCTTAAAAATGGAGGGTTCCTCTAAGAAGTTTTCTCTCATCAACTCCCATTTTTTCAAGCCTCTTTTGCCGGGTTTCGATTCTAATTTCGTAAGTCAATTTAATTTCTTGTAATTATCTTAATCTCTCTTCCTTTAAACCTTAATATAATTAAGATATATATATTAGTTGATGAACTAACGTTTAATTAATTGTATACGTAATTACATACGTAGTATGAATTAACTATAATATTGGATGGACAGGCAATTCCGAAGTCATTCAACAAGTATCTAGGAGAAGACATTGAAGAGGCTGATGAAAAGATTGCTATATTAAGAAACTATAAAGTTAAGGATAATTTATGGATGGTAAAAGTGTGTTATTTTGATGATAAGTTGAATTTTAAAAATGGATGGGAGAAATTTTGTAAGGATCATGGTTTACAAATTGGTGATTTCTTAGTGTTTAAGCATCATCAAAACTTGGTTTTCGATGTTTTCGTCTTCGATTCTTCTTGTTGTGAGCGTCCGTTTCCTGGTTTCAATAATCCGACTACAGAAAATGTGAGATCTTCTAGCTCAAACATTCCATCTAAGAAGGGCTCTTGCAAAATTGAGAAAGGTCAGTTACTTCATTTTTCTAGTTGATAAGTACTATTCACATAAACTCCATCTAATCACTTTAATTTAATTATAAAATAATTTAAATGTAAGAGACGATATAATATATTTAGTTATGATTTTATTTAATTTGTCGCAATGTATATTAGCATAATATCAACTAATTTTACTCATTGATAATTGTAAATATTTAATAGACAAAAAGAACTGAGGAAATATTCTTATTTCATTAATTGATAATTGTAAATAATAAAGTCTTTAATGAAGAAAAAGATGTAGTAAAATGTTTGTTTATTTCATACTCCGTATGACACAACTTACAAAAACAAAGTTATTCCATACCATGGTAAATTTAAGTTGTGTCTTTGCATATACATGGTAAATTTAAGTATGTATTGTAAAAATATACTCCATATTATAAATAGGCTCTTGCCAACGAATGCCCCCGGGGCGTTGGATAAGCATTTAAAATATTGTCTAAAATGGTATTAATTTGGGAAAGCATGACAAAATCTCGCGTCGATCAGCGTAATTAATGTTCATTTTAATTTAATCTTTCTACTTTTATCTAGCTTATCTAACGCCCCCGGAGCGTTCGTTAGCTTTTGCCTTATAAATATTACTCCATACAAATGTGAATTTTCAAAATTTGACAATTAATAACTTTAATATTACTCTTCGGTAAATTTTCCATTTCAAAATTTGACAATTAACTCAATAATTTTTCGACATGTACTAAATAGTAAATATTTAGGACCATAGAAATAATTTAACAAATAAACTAGTTTTTGAGCCCGAAGATGTCCCAAATTGGATTATTATATGGAACTAATAATTAATATATGTTGTAATTTATGATTCAAATTTCTTGTAATTAAATTTGTCATTTACAACATATTAATAATTTATATTAAAAAATTGCATGAAAAATCACATAGCTTTGTGATAAGATACTTAGAGCCTGTTCTCTTTAGATTATTTCCAGTCCAGTTTTGTTCAATACAGTTCAGTTCAGTCAATCAAAACAAGCCCTTAGTTTTAGAATTAGAGGTTGGCTGTTCAATTCTTGTAGTTTAGAATTAGAGGTTGGGTGTTTAAATCTTATAGTGAACTTTTTTTTTTATTTATTAAAATGAGAAACGTATGGACGTAATAAGTAGATGAGTGGGTGACGTGGCGTAATGAAGGGGAGTTACGTGACATGTGAACGTTTTTTAGATTGTCTTTTAATAGATTAGTATAAATATAGATATAGATATAAATTAGTGAAATAATGATGCGATTAAATTATTTTGTGCTTAATGACCAATATATTGAAGGGTTGAAAAAGCCAGTAAAGGACCACGTCAAGGTCAATTCATCATCGAAAGTTACCTTCAAATCAAGGGGATATCCGTACTGCCACAACGTTGTGAAGCCATATTGGTTTAGCTGGGGAGGATTGGTAAGCATATAACTATTAATTCCAAACGGAGGAAATATTAACTAGTACTACGTATTTTAAATTTCGCCAATTATTCGTACAACAATACATATGTTTTATTTTTATATAAAGTTCAAATTTTGTAGCCTATTACCATGGAATTTGCTAGGAAACACGACCTAGCAAATAAATGGTGCGACATTACAGTAATAGATCAAAAAGGAAAAGAATGGCTACTTCCATTGAGGCACCATAAGCGTGGTTCTAGTGTTTACATCGGAAGGCCACACGAGTTTCTCGTTGTTAACGACCTAAAACCTGGTGATCCTATCGTCTTTGAGCTTATTGCCTCCGGAGATTTTCCAAAAATAAATTTCTATAGTAAGTCACTCAACTCTTAATATCCAAGCATTACATTTACGTAAATATTATATGTACATACATGTTATATTGTAGGTGATTATTCATATCATATTATTAATATTATAAAATAGGAAAATGTTAAACATATTCCTTAGGGCTATATATAAGCATTAAATTTACACTTGAAAATCGTAAAAAAGTTAAAAAAAATCATCAAAATATAAACACTAATAACACTGATTTACGCGTGTTTTTGTCAGAATTTCTAATTTTATACGGAGTACAATTTTCAAGAGTATATTTAATGCTTATATATAGCCCTTAGGGCTACGTATAACATTACCCTTTTTGGCTCTAATAATAGTAGTAAAATTGAGGTAGAGGGGTTATATTATGTACGTAAGCTAACGCATTACAACAATTTATTGCATTTTGCAGAGTTAAATTGAGTTGATGGTGTGCAGATAATTAATGGGGCTCAATTTAATTGCAGAGAAGAGTTGATCAATTAGTTCCTTTTGCAGCAATAATTAAGTTGATGGTGATATTTTGCATGACTTTTCAAGTCCCTTATCAGTTAATGTAGACAATAATTAACGTTACATTTTGCAAATTGTAGTATGTTAATATGTATTAATGGATTAGACCAACTCAATCGACATTTTGTGAACGAAGTATTTGCTTCATGCCTACATATCTTGTTATATAAATGAATTTGGATTTTTTTTTTTTTTTTTTTTGACACATAATTTGGTATTTACATATGTTGTTTATCTAACAAATTGTGCACAAAAAGAATCAATATAAAGCAAGAGACGATAGATTGAATACATGAATTTACTTCTACCAGTAAACACCTATCTAAGAATACAAAATTCTCATATAGCTAGGTATTAGAAATCTTATGCAAATTTCACATATAGTAAACTTATGTTATTTTTTCTTATAACTAACAAAACCTATGATATATACTTCATATAAGTTTTTATTGAGTTGGTCATTATTGAAGAAGAAATTGACCACATATGAATCCATCCCTTGAATTTGATCTTAAATGTAATAGGTAAAATTACAAAAATATATCTTACTTATAACAATTACTAATCTTGTTTTTGATCTAGTTATTTATGTGGGACTGATTGTACCTACTCATTATCGGGTATTAGGTTATTATCTTAACAAATGGATTCAAAGTCAAATTTAGATATGGACGTACAACACATATGGAATTAAATTTCTCTTTGTGAACCATTTTAAGTTTCATCGATATATTAATTTATTTGGCCGTACAATGTTGTAAGGGTACATCAATCTCTCTTAAACCATACTACTCCGTAGATTCTAACTAATCCGGTCAAATTCAAGCCAAGTTAAGATCCATTGCCCAACAAATATATGTTGATGCATGCATTTCTTGAGCTCCGATCCACATTTAGGGTCTGTTCTCTTACGTTGAAATTCAGTTCAGTTCAGTTTAGCTCAGTTTAGTTCAGTTCAGTTCACTTCAGCTCAGTTCTGTTCAGTTCGGTTCAGCTCAGTTCATCTCAATTCAGTTCAGTTCAGTTCAGCTCCTAATTTCTTTCTCTTATAAAATATTCATTTCAGTTCAGTTCAGTTCAGCTGAGTTCAGTCAATGAGAACAGACCCTTAATCTCAGCAGTTAAAATATAATACTCCCTCCATCCCTTATTTGCATATGCCTATCAATCAATCAATCAATATTATTAAAACTCAAATGCAAGGAGTGTCATATCGCCATGTGTCATTTTCTTTTTCTTATTTAGACACGTCATCGATTAAACTGTCACATAATATAATCGATTACATGTACATGTTAAATCATGTCAATAAATTGTATGATAAATTAATTAATTGTATTATAGTATTGATTGTATAATAATCAATTAAATCAGTTGAAAAAAATAATTTAATTAATTTTCATCACTCAAAATAAGTTTTGTAACCGATTGTATTTATTTTGAGCTCAATTAGAACGATGAATAATTACAATGTATTTAAATTGTTTTGACCCACTTAATTTGTAACCGGTATGTATCTGATGTGATTTACTTATTGAAAGTTTTCCTATCAAAGTTTAAATATACCAACGTAAAAAAAAATTAAGTAATATCCACAATCTTCCATAAAAAATAAAATAAAAAAAATAAAAAATAAATAAAAAAAGGGAGGGAGAGAAGAAAGAAATTCGGAGCTTCGCCCGGATCACTAACTAGTTTTTATTATTTATTATTACTCACATAATAAGTAGAAATAGACACGTAAATAAGGGATAGAAGAAGTACTTTACAACTCTCTTACCAACAAATCTGTATATCTCATGTACTCCAAAAGGGCAAGGGCTATGTATAGAATATCTATTTCAATTTTAGAAAGAAAGTGCAATAAAGTTACGGCAGAATAATAAAGTACCATCTGTTGATTTACCTAGAGCATTAATCACTATTTATTTTCTATTTAAGGGAATCTTGAAATCTGAACCAGGTAAACTTACACACTAATCTTAAACTAAGTATGGAGGATTCCTCTAATAATATGAAAAAATTCTCTCCAATCAACCCCCACTTTTTCCAGCCTCTTCTTCAAGGATTTCAATCCAATTTCGTAAGTCATCTTCCCTTAAATTATTCTCTCTAAAAAACTTTAATCACATATAATTAATTTTATTAATTATAGTTCAATACTATTTTTTTGTAAACATAGCGATCACACATTTTTATTGTGGATTATGTATATGTAAACGTACCTTACCTTACTTACGTACACTAATTATATTGTTGCACTATATGTATGACAGTCGATACCAAAGTCATTTCTCAAGTATATAGGCGAAGAATATAAAGAGGAGGCTAATGAAAAGCATTCCGTGTTAAGAAACAAAAGAGTTAAATCATCAAATAATTATTGGTTTGTTAAAGTGTGTTATTATGATGATAAGTTGCATTTTAAAGATGGATGGGAGACATTTTGTAAGGATCATGGTTTACAAATTGGTGATTTCTTGGTGTTTAAGCATCATCAAAATTTGGTTTTTGACGTTTTCGTCTTTGATCCTACTTGTTGTGAGCGTCCATTTCTGGGTGATAATCATCAATCGTCTACAAAAAAGGTGAAAGTTTCCAATTCAAATAATCCAATTATCAAGGATTTTTTCAAAAATGAGAAAGGTCCGTTTTTAGTACTAGTTTTGCTTGATCTTTTTGATTTATTTGCTTATAATGTTACTAAATATTAATTATGATTTTTGAGAAATAATTCTGATATTTAATTTCATATTTAAAATGTAAGAGGTGAAAGGGATTACCAACGTGCTAGCTAAGTTTGCGATTAACGACAATTAACAACAACGAAGACGGAAAAACAAGTAATAAACGAGACAAGGAGAATTTACCGTGGAAAACCCGAGAACCGGGAGAAAAACCCACCAATCCACTATGGAGTAACAATTTGATGAAAAACAATGTAGATTACAAGCTTCAATCACCATTAAAGCTCCCACCCAAGCTCACTCTGAGAACACTCAAACCCTAAGTGTTTGGGTTTACATGAGGCTCTCTCTATCTCTACATCTTTCCCTTCATCACATTTTTTCTCTACAATGACAATACAAGAGTATATATAGTGCTAGAAGATCAACGGCTAAGATTACATCCCGAGCGAAATAAAAGAAATCGCGTCGCTGAACAGGGGCTCGATGGTTCGACCGAACCGTCCTAGAGTTCGGTCGAACATAAGGTGGTTCGGTCGAACATCTCCCTTAGTTCGACCGAACCTGCTCTAGAAATCAAAAGGCTACACATTCTGCCTCAATTACTCAGAAGTTACTAGGTTCGACCGAACCTTTCATGAGTTCGGTCGAACTCCCTCACTGCGCAGACAACTCTTCTTAAAGCAGTCATAACTCCCTCGATTCTTAACCAAATCGAGCTTATGACCAGGCGTTGGAAAGCTCTTGAGACGAGCTATCACCTCCAACTTGAATCATCCCAATATCACTTCTAGATCTTGAGATATGCCCATTTGAAGTCAGCCCTTTGACATCCACCATTGCTTTACACCAAGCAATAGCCCATAGCTTAATCTCCTAAGCTATGCACCCCCTTAGCCTTCTTGAAACCGTTCTCCACACTCTCAAACCCAACAAGAGGATGTTCATCTGCTTAATTTAAAAGTTTTAAAGTTGCTCAAGAAAAAGGTTTAATTATTTGGTGCCCTTTTTTCTTCTTGTATTTAGCTAAGCATAATATAGTATTGAAAATAGGTATATAATAATAATACGAGTAATAATAAAATTGGAATTATTATTATTTTTTTACTTTTTTTTTTGTCTACCTATATTGAAGGGTTGAAAAAGAACAAAAATTACAAGGTCTATTCAACGTCAAAAGCTACCTTCAAACCCAGGGAATTTCCGTATTGTGAAGCCATACTGTTTGACATGGGGAGGAATGGTAAGCTACTAAGCATACCGTACATTCGTGATTAAATATACACTAGGTATTGTATACAATTATATATTGTACGTACATAAGATCAATCATGTTCTTTATTTCTATACAATAAACTCGTTCATTGCATACAAGTTTTGCCTAATCGCCTTCCCAGTGTGTCTTTTTCGTGGAATTTTTTTTACTAATGCCATTGCAATTATATTGGTTATATTTGATTTGTAGCCTCTTCCGAATAAGTTTGCAAGGGACAATGATCTAGTAAATAAAAGCTGTGACGAAATGGTGCTATAAGATGAAGAAGGGGAAGAATGGACAGTTTCTTTGAGGAGTTATAAAAAGAGTCAATCAGCTTATATCGGAAAGTGGATAAATTTTCACAATAAACATGGTGATCATGTTGCTTTTGAGCTCATTGAATCAGGAGAAACACCAAAAATGAATTTCTATAGTAAGTTACTAATTTCATATGAATTATAATTTTAATTGTAGAGTAATTGATTGCATTGATTTGATTGACATATAATTGAGGTGAACTTGTTTTTAATTTGCAGAGTTGAGTTGATTAATTAGATTGATCCGGCCTTTTGCAAAATGCATCAATTATAATGAGTCCGATTGGAGTTGAAGCTCAATTTTGAAATCCGATAGAAGTTTTCACAAGATAGCTCGTTTAGTGTTTTTGACTTTCTATTACGAGATACATATGATATATATCTTAATCATTTGTACTTTATTATGTTGCCACCTTTTTGAACTACTACACATAAATAGTAAATTAATTAAATAAAGAATAATGTACGACTTTTTTATGAATCAATCTATATATCAATATAATATGAAACTAATTTAATGAAATAGATGGTGTATCATAAGGGTATAGGCTTTTTCATACCATTTAGGGTTTGATTGGAGCTTTTGGAATGGAATTAAAGTCCATTTCATTTATTATACTGTCTGGTAGGCATTTTAGATATGAAATCTCATACTGAGAGGGTTTATAAATTCACCTCATCCTCTATAATCTCACACCCACCTCACCCCACTCCTGTAATGACATGTAAAAAAATTTTGTCAAAATATAAATCACACAAATTATAAGATACGTAGTATAGAATCCATAACTCCATTTTAATACGTAGTAAAATGTAAAAAAAAATGGTTCAAAAATAGACCAAACAAGTTAATACAAATATGAGGTAATTTTGGTGTCAAAAGCACACTAAACACACACAATCCGATTCGAAAAATATCCAATTTAGATTTCTGACTCATGTAACATAATACAGTAATTTAACATAACTCAAATCTAAAAATTGATCCTATTGCCAAGTTGCCACAGAGGCTGAGGCACTTTAGACCGCACGACTGCTCCTCCGCGTAATCGGCTTTTCTCCGGCTTGCCGTCTTGTCTTCTTCGACTGTAAGTCGACGTTTTTCTCTCTCCTACTTTTTTTAATTATCAAGTTTTAATTTCTCTTCGATTAATTTTTACCAATTTTATCTCTGATCATCACACATTTAAATTCAATTATCTTCATTAAATTTCATCTCAATTCAATTCGTTTGTCGATTTCTAGCTATCTTCGTAATTATTTTTTGTGATTTAAAGTTTTGATTTCGAGAAGTATAAACAACTGATTTGATTGTACCAATTAGTTCTGAGGGTTTTGCAATTTTGTAATTTCTGTTGAATTATGTTGTTGTAGTTTGTAATTTTAATTCTTTTGTTGGTTATATAATCAAAGGATTTAAATTTATGATGTTGTGATTCTGTTGAAATTGAAATCAGGTTCCTGTTACCTGCAATTAGTTGTAGCAATGTCAGTGCCTAATGAAGATAGCTCATCTTCATCAAACTCTCAGGTACTTAGCCGATTTCTGTCTTGCTCCTAGTTCTTTACAATTTTCTTGTGGTTTTTGGCTTTTTATTTGATTTTTGTTATAAGTTATAATTGTGATCTGATCACCAACAAAATAGACAAATCAGTCACTTGTTTTCGAGGCTTAAACGAATCGTTGGTGGATCGGTTAGTTATTGGTTATGGCGTATGGATGGAAATGGGAATGCAAATTGACATAAAGTACAATTGGCATGTTGTTTAATGGTATAGGAATTACTTGAGGACTAGTATGCTACTATTGAAAAGGAAGAGGGAAGTGTTATCGATGGATTGTTAGTAAATCCGCTATTGGTTCTCAATCTATTCTCACTACAGCACAAACATAGAAACGGAAATTGTCTAGTGTCCAACGTTGGGCCGACACTTTGCAGTTCTAAAGAGTTTATCTGATGTATACAACTCTGCATTTCCCTTTATTTGTACTAAGCTCAAACAAATCTCATTACTTCATATTTTGGAACTGCTCCTTTTCTTAAATTTTACTACTCCGTAATAACTTAACCACTTAGATAGGTGTAATAGACTAACCTTGGGAGGGGAGGGACACTATTGGCATCGTAGTGTATTTCAGTTATGAGGTAGCTTGGGGAATAAGTTGAGGAGTTTAGACATAGAGGGCAGAAATTAAGTAAAACGTTTTTATATAGGGTGGAGGTCAGTATGAAAAATAAGCAGAATATTTTGAGTGGTTGCTTAGAATTGGGAGTGTCCAGTTTCTTGAAAAATTGGGAATGTAAACCCCATTTGATGATTTAGTTTCTATGAAATTCAGTTACTACTTCTATCAACTTTCCCTCTAATTCTCTTCGCCTATATCATTTTTATTTTCTGAATTTTCCATTCTTCTATAGATTGAACAACCTCCCCCCCCCCCTCCTTCCACCCCCCTGTCCCGTTTGTATAGATAATATTTATCCTCCTGACCTTGATTGCTACCAGAATTCTTATCAACCACAAATTCCTAATTTTTAATGGATACTACTGTAAGGGAAAGCAACCTTATTCTTGATCATTGGAAAAAGGTAGAGGGTTAAAAATAATACATGTAGGTTGCTCACCTCAAATGTATAAACAAGTCTTTTTCTCTGCTAACTTTTATTGAGATGCTACTATCTTCTATAACATACCTTCAAGTGATATCTCACTGCACCCAAGGTAGACAATGTGTCTTGAGTGAAAGTTTCATGTCCAGCTGCAAGTAGCAAACTATTGATGAAACATCTCTGAATTCCATTCTTGTGCCAAGGGGCTAGGCTAGGCCCTTGCTAGCTCTCGTTCTATGCCTTATCTATTTTTCCAGGAACATTGGACAAATCACTTTTGGATGTATTATGATTCTCTGAGCTTGCTTGAGGATCAAAGCTTTATCAAAGACTCCTATCCCTTTATAACGAGTCTCTGACACAAACATTAGGGAATATCATTGCAGAAATAGGCTGATAACAATGCTATTTATGTTCACTAGGTTTCATTAGCTATCCCTGTTCCACAAACAATGCAATAAAAAATCGGTAGAACTAAGACAGAACATCGGTGAAAACAGACAAAAGAACCATAGAGAGATTATCTATAATTTTATAGCTGGTGAAAGGTAAGAGCACTGCAAATCTGCAATACTCTAATTTTTTTTTTTTGAACCTTTTCTGCCAAATCAATGTGATTGAACCTCTTTGTTCTGTTTCCCAACGTCAAATAATGGGGCAGAGACCAAAATTCTTTGAAAGACGACCTATACATATAACTTAAAATGTTATATTTTGGGCTTACTACTTTACTAGGATCAAAGATATCCTCGTATTGATCAACCCTCACAAAGCTTCACTATATTCAAAGTGACCATTGGGCTATTGTAGGAAATAAATTACATGAATAGTTTCTCCATAAATGACTCAAATTCTTGCACCTATCAAAGGTACAGTTTATGAAGGAGGAAATATTTCTGTAGAAGCTGCACAGGTTTTATGCTGAATTCAACCTTGATGGTTAGTTGCTGATGTCTTGTTGTGAAAGAGGCACTTGATTTAGGTTAGAGGTCTTTGAATTAAAGAACTTGGATGGTACTTCCTTGCTTAAAATTGATGAGCCCATGAATTATGGACTTTGCTTTGAAATATGGATAGTGCTGAATGGTGGATGATATCTGATCATCTCCATAATCAAAGTGGCGCTTGTTGCATCAGGGATGATGTAGATTGACGAGAGCATATCTATCATGTTTTATATATCTGTAGGTTTGTAGGAACCTGGCTAATCAAGCAAGAGATAGTGTTCTGGTTCAAGATGAAATTTATAGGAAAGATTGATTGGTGAAAAGATGGGGCAACAGAAAGACTTCTGCTGCTGATACTGTAAAAAAATTACTACCTAGACAATTGAGTGTTCGCTTCCTTTTTTTGGGTTGAGGGGTAGGGCTAGGGAGGGTGTTTGAGGTGTTGCTGTAGCAACATTAGCAACTGTGTTTTGACAGCTTTGGGTAGCATTGTATTTTGGGTTGATTTACATCATTTTATGAAATCAGACCCAGGAAGGTTAGCATGTGTCTAAATCTATCTAGCATTGCATTTTGGGTTGATTTGCAGCCTTCTGTGACATACCCGTCAAGCTATTTATGTAACTGATTCTATGATCTGCGTACAGATCTGCAACATGCTGCTTTTGGGTTGTTATATTCTCTTCCAAATTTAGTTAAAATGCAGAGGTTGTTTCTTTGTACTATACACAATAAATTTCAATTTTTATTTTAATTGATGTAGGATAACATCTGACGCAAGCTAATAAACAAATAAAGTATTCATTCACTGATGCTTCAGTGATCTAGGATCTTTATTTACTTGTTCAAGGTTTCAGTGATGTCTAGAGGTCGACTTTGGAGCCAGATATAACATGTATGTGGCTGAATATGAACATACGACATTGTCTCTGCAGTGGATCAGAGATTTTGAATACGAGATGGATGTGAATCTTAACTTTTTTTAAGTTGACCAGATTCATATGCTGACCATTCATGATAGCTGAACCTGTGTTATTTATGTATATCCTGTTTGTTACATGCGTACCGTGTTTTAATTGCTGAATGTATGAGGTTTGTGCTTGCAGCTTCCATCACAATTATTTGGTGACCTCTTGGATTCGATCATTGTTGATGTTGCATCAGAGTGTCACCGTATTGCAAGGCTTGGACTTGATCGGAATTTAGAAGAAGAGGAAGAAGAATTGAAGTTGTCAGTACAAGCCAGGGTTAAGGTTGCTGATTCAAGTAATAGTGGTGAAGTAAATGGAAAGCACGTAGTGGACATATTTGGACAAACTCACCCAACTGTAGCAAACGACGTATTTGATTGCATGAACTGTGGGAGATCTGTTACGGCTGGAAGATTTGCACCACATTTGGAGAAATGCATGGGAAAGGTAATTTGAAACTAATTTATACTGTAATTCCTAGTAAAGATGTGGAAATTTATATTGTAAGAAACTGTTTTGCTCTTCAACAATTTGTTTTCTTTTAGCTGATCATTTGTCTGAATCTATTAAACGTATCTTTGTTAATACATACAGGGTAGAAAGGCCCGTCTTAAAGTTACCAGAAGTAGTACTGCGGCACAGAATCGATACACTCGAAGCAGCCCAGTCCCCGTGTATTCCCCTTATTCAAATTCCCCAGCCACAAATCGGTTATCAAATGGATCGCCTGGTGGTGCAGGTGATGAATTCCTCAACGGCACAGCTGAAGATCCTTGAGAACTGAATTAAAAAAACAAAATTGATGTGGCAGACCAAGACTATGTATGCAAGGCATGTATAACTACGTTGGCTGCCATAGACTGCAGCTCAGGGTATGTAGTTTACATGGAAGTAGTCGCAGGTATATTTTTTCTGTCCTGCTGCTCGAATTCTAGTACTAATGTAAATGCATGACAGGCTGACAGCATGAGTAAACTGGACCAACTCCTAAGTTGGATGTAAGATGAACAGCTACAGATATAACTATATAAGTTTCTTTCACATCAATGGGTTGTAATGGCATTAGATGAAACTTGAGATACAAACAGGTCATATGGATTGTGTTTGGTTCAGGCTAGATTCGATTCAAAAATCGTGTAGTTTAGGTCATTATAATCTGGATCACATAAGGTCAATGATTTTCAATCACATAAGGTCAATCATCTTATTACAGGTTATCTTCTCCTAATTATCAGTTGAAGCTTATTATTTTTATTGATTCGTATGTTAAGGTCATTTAATTTACTACCTCCGTTAACTATTATTTGCAACAAAGAGGTATTATTTGTGAGATATAAAATACTCCTTTGTTGCAAATAATAGTTAACGGAGGTAGTATATGATGTTTGTTATTAAAATTTTGGATACATCTGCATGAAATTGCTGAAATATTGTGTCTTTTTTTGGAAAATTAACAATTTCACCTGCTATTCTGCCAAGAAAGGGAGTCATACTCACAAGCCAATTCAGCTAGACAATCTTTAGCATCTGAAATTCCCAAGTTTAGTACTAGTATGAACTAGTGAGTGGATCAGTTTAATTTAATTCTTAGTGTACGATATCGTAAGAATCCATTTCATGAAATTTTTTTCAAAAAATTTGCCGCATTTGTAAATTATTACTCGTATTAATTACAACATGCTAATATGTATTTTATTGGCAATTATTATTAATCAATGGTTTATATGTAGACGACACTTGCTAGATTAATCACTAAATTTGGGAAATTACAGAGATTAATTAGATAATGCGCTTAGTTAACACTGATGATCGAGTTTGTTACGTAGAGAATTTGCTTACTAGTAGTATGATCTAAGTATAAATAACATTGCATACATGCAGAATTGAACTCATATACTTCAATTATTTCCATTGAATTAACAAAAGAATTCATAATTTTTATATTTGATGTTCATTTCACAATTAAGGCAATATCTTGTTACATTAACTGCCATGGCATCAACTCAAACTTACGGGTATCAAGGCTGCTTTCCTCGATCATTGCTAACATTCTTGAGACTACTGGTAACATGGTAAATTAAGTTCTTTTACTCGGTAATTTTTTTTTTTTTTTATTATTTTTTTTTTATTTTTTTTGTAAAATAAGTTAATGCAATGGGTTGATAACATGGTAAATTAAGTTCTTGTTTACTCATAAGTATACATATGTCTTGTGTTAGAAACATGAACAATACAAATTGAAGTATACGAGATAACTATTTTCCTAATTAATATCTTTCCTATACTACACATTTCTTATTTATAATGTACTCTGAAAAAAAAAAAAAACATATAACTATTGTTTGTGAGTCCTACTCCGAATTTATTCCATGACATGAAAAAATGTGAAAGATGGAGGAAAAATAAAAAGAGGATGTTTCAAGTTTTTTGGGCCTTTAAAATGAGGGACCCTGTGTTGATGGCTTTTAGGCATTCCCTTATCAACGAACCTAGATTTATGACATCATATTGTGGCAAAAATATACAATTAATTTGTAAGAAATAACAAAAATATAGCTTAATGAATGTTATTAAGCTGATAAAATAGAGGTTAAATTAATTTTATTTGACATACTTTGTATATATCTTGACATCTTGTATTAGATACTTGAATTTTACTTTTTTTTTTTTTTTTGTACGGGGAATTATACAAATTGAAGTACGTTATAATGCAGTGAATTTTTTTTCTTTTTTCAAGTTACAATAAAAACTCATTATATCTTTCGATAAATAAATGTTTTAATCTAGTTAGTTTATTAGGGGGTATTTAGCACTGTCAAAACGGTTTGACAGTTCGGTTTCGATTCGGTTTGAAATCGGTTCGGTATTTAATCGGGTCGGTTTGGAATCGGTTTAATTGTCTCACGGGTCGGTTTTGGTTCGGTTTAAATAGTTATCGGTTCGATTCGGTTTTGGTTTATTCTTAAGCGGTTTTAATTCGGTTCGGGTTGTAAACAGTCCGGGTTGTAAACGGTTCGGTGCAGACGGGTTGCGGTTTGTTAACGGTGCGGTGTAAACGGTTTTTATCCCGGTTCAAACAGTTTCGGGTTGGAAATGGTTTCGGGTTAGAAACAGTTCGGTTCTTTTTTGGTTCAGTTTATAACTGGTTCGGTTCTTTTTCGGTTCAGTTTATAACTGGTTCGGTTCTTCAATTGTATAACCACTTTAACGTTATTCATATCGGTTCCATTTCAAGTTTACTAAATTATAGTTGAATCTGAATTAAAACATAGCCTAATAGTATATTCATGTCACTAGCACACTCCCATCTTTATTTCATTATTACTCACAGAATCAATGTAATCATATGCTTAATAGTCTCTGTGAATTAATTTTATTTATTACGCCTTCAGCCAAGCCTTGGTACTTAATATTACAAGTTTTTTGTTCATTTGGTTTCATCACCTCAAATGTATACATGACTAGAGGCAGTAGTGTTGCTAATAGTTTGAGGCGGGGCCTGAGCCTGCTTGTTTTGCTCTTGTTTGTGAACACTGATTATCCTTAAGACCTTAATGAATGATTTGCCTTGCTATTTTAAAAAAAATATTCTAAGATTTCTAATATTTAATCCATTTAATTATATCCTCGTCAAAAAAAAAATCCATTTAATTATATAAAAAAGTTTGTAAACGGTTCGATTTAGAAGCGGTTTGGTTCATAAACGATTCGGTTTATAACCAGTTCGGTTTACAATCAGTTCGGTTTTTAAATGGTTCGGTGCAAACGGGTAGCAGTTTGCTAACGGTTCGGTGTAAGCGGTTTTTTTGCCAGTTTAAACGGTTTCGGGTTGGTACCGGTTTCGGGTTAGATACGGTTCGGTTTTTTTCGGTTCGGTTTTCTTTCAGTTCGGTTTATATTCGGCTCGGTTTGTTAACGAGTTCGGTTCTTATACGGTTTAACATTATTCAGGTCGATTCGGTTTCGGGTTTACTAAAATACGGTTCGGGTCGGTTTTCGGTTTCAAAAAAATCAGTTTTTAATCGGTTCGGTTCTCATTTGGGTCGGTCGGTTTCGGGCAGTTAAACGGTTTCGGTTTGAAATTTGACAGCACTAGGGGTATTACACTAGTTGCATTAAAATTTAATTAGTTCATTGATAATTCATGTTCGTGCATAATCTAGGCACCTTGCATCCTTGCCGGTAGTCTATGGAAAAAAAGGACCAAAGAATATCACCGAGCTCATGAGAAATAATGTTGTAGCCATTTCTGTAGCAATTTTTGTTGTAATATTAGTAATAGCTTATATTTTCCGTTATTATTATTTAGCTGGACATTATGTCCAGCGTAAATTACCCGAAAAAATATATAGAAGATTTCCATTAGATATATACTTTGTAGATAGGCAAACAGAATTTGTTAATGAAGATTGTGCCATATATATATATCCGTTTGAAGACGGAGAATTGCTTCGGATTCTTCCAATGTGCAGGCACAACTTCCACTGCCATTGCATCGACGATTGGTTTTCAAAACGTGACTGCCGATGCCCTAATTGTAAATATGATTATTCCAAGGGAAAATATTGTACACTAGAGTATATTAGATTTTTTCTTTTTGGATCATAATTCCTGTTGTACTAGTTAAATTGTGTAATACAACGAGTTTGTTTGATTACATTATTGCGCAAGTATTTATAAATCTTATGAAAGACAGTAATTTTTTGCATAGTGATTGGGCTTCTTCATATTGTCCCCTTCAAATTTAGTAGTGGCATGGTCCGCATGGAACGTGATCATGAAAATTAGAGCTAAATGAGGTTGACATTGCGGAAAAAGGTAAAATAAAGAAAGTCATGCCTCGACATTTTCTTTCTCTTGATTTTTCTTGATGATTCTGCAACATTTATCTAATGTATCCGCAATATTTACTAACAATCTAACATACCTATATGCTTCTCGTCCTCCAAAAAAAATAACAAAAAACAATCTATATATTTTAATAGTCACTTAAATTAAAGGTTTAAAATGGTTCAATTCTTTTTCGGTCCAGCTTAGAATGGCTTTTGGGTTAGATTCAATTTCGGGTTAAAAACGGTTCAGTTTTATTCCAGTTCGGTTTAGAACTGGTTTGGTTTCGATACAGTTTAACATTATTCGGATCGGTTCGGTTTCAGACTTATTAGAAAACGGTTCGGACCGATTTTCGATTTGAAAAAATCAGTTTTTAAACGGTTCGATTTTGGGCACTTAAGCGATTTTGGTTTGGTAAATTTGCCAGTGCTACTTGCTAGTGCTTTTAATGTAAAAGGTGCAAGCTAAGTGCAACAACCAACACAAGGCTATACTTGTTTATTTATTTATTTATATTTTTTTTTTTGGCTACCATTTTTTTTTTAACGAGACAGACCCAACTAAACGCTACATTAAGAATGGTGCCTTAGTATTTTACTAACAGAATTTGCTAAAACTAAAGTTACTTTATCAAGTATTACTAGTTTAACCGAACTGTTTAAAAACTGATTTTTTTCAAATCGAAAATCGATCCAAACCGTTTTCTAATAAGCCTGAAACCGAACCGATCTGAATAATGTTAAACTGTATCGAAACCAAACCAGTTCTAAACCGAACTGAAATAAAACTGAACCGTTTTTAACCCAAAATTGAATCTAACCCGAAAGCCATTCTAAATTGGACCAAAAAAGAATTGAACCGTTTTAAACCCAAAACCGTGTGAATCGAGATAAAAACCGTTTACATTGAGTCGTTAACAAACCGCAACCTGTCTGCACTGAACCGTTTACTACCTGACTGAATTAAAACCGCTCGAGAATAAACCGAAGCAAAACCGACCTGTAAGACACTTAAACCGATTTAAAACCAAAACGTTTGCAAATCGAACGGATTTCAAACCAAACCAAAATCGAACTGTCACACCGTTTTGACAGTACTACGAGTAGCAAGAAATGTTCGGTTGAAGCAAGAAATGTTCCAACTTTATCCATCGGTTTGACCTCCCTTGTCCCCGACCAAAATGTATGTGATTAATTTTCTTTCACCCATTCAAAAGTCATTGTCAGAACTCAGAAGTATTTGAATCCAAAGTCCAACTTCCTTAATACTTCCCCAAATAGTCAAGACCCAACTACCCACATTTAACCACAATCAATGCCTAGCTCACCCCTCCAAACTTAGTAGTACCTCGTTTATCTACCTCTAGCCTCTAGTCTCTAACTAGTGCTTTTAATGTACAAGATTTTTTTTAAGAAAACCGTGTAATCGGAAAGATTAGGTTTGTCTTCTCTTAATACTAAAACCTAAACTATCGAATAAGAGAGCAATTTCTTGATGGGTGTATGTAAGATGACTAAACGAGACTACATAATCTACAACAATTTCTATGTAAATAACTAAATATGCTTAGATTATATTGTATTGAATGAAACATTGAGTTAACGTTTTAAGTTCAACCAAACCTTTTTTAAAAAAAAAAAAATATTACTCTCTTTATTTTATTTTTTTAAAATGTAATAATTTGACTTTTACACTTACTTTAAGTTCGATTTTTTTATTTACTAATGTTAAAAAATGTTATCATGTAATATATTGAAGGATTAGATACAAGTAGATAAATTATCATGATATTAACATCTTGTAATTTATTTTAATAGACAATATTGAAGCTATACTATAGAGTACAATTAAATGTGTTTGGTCAAAGTGTTGTAATTTATAAAACAGAGAAAATATAATTTTCTTTTTGGTACGAAGAAAGATAGCATAAAGGGGTATACTCTTTTCCATCCATATAAATTTACACAAGAATATTTGTAACACACATTGAGTTTACATCAAGCAAACAAAATTACACTAGAAAATTTCTCTAGAGAAGCTAGATGAGGTTATTCCACCCTAAGAAACCACACTTTTTTCAGCCTCTCATTCCCGGTTTTCTTTCTGATTTTGTAAGTCCGCCTTAAACTATACTCCGTCCTAATCTAAATTTCACTATCAACGTGACAACTATTTCTCATGTCGTATAAACGGGGTGTAATAATTTTCATTCTTTTACAAATTTTGTCCTAATCTAAAAGAAATAATAAACGTAGTATGCTAATTTTTCTAAGTAATATTTTATTTTACCTTTGCATGCAGTCAATACCGAAGTCATTTTACAAATATCTTGGTTTAGGAGCAGAAATTGGAGAGAAAATGGCCTTACTAAGAGACAAAAATAAGAAAATTTGGGATGTTAAAATTGAGTTAATTAATAATAAGGTGCAATTCAAAGATGGATGGGAGAAATTTTGCAATGACCATGATTTGCAAATTGGTGATTTTTTGGTGTTTATGCATCAAGGTTACTGGGTTTTCGATGTTTTCGTCTTTGATTCTACGGCTTGTGAGCGCGAATCTGCAACAATTGATGACGAATCTAATCAATTTAACTATGTAATAGTACAAGCTTTAAGCTCTTGTGGCTCGAGAAATAATTCTGGTGCCACTCTTAATGAAGCCAAAGGTATGTGTTTAGTGTTTAATGTTTATGTTCGGTTTTTATTGTGAAATAAGTAACGGATAAAACTGGAAGAACTTTTAGAAACGAATGAGTTTATAAAAAAGATAATACAAAGTACGAGTAATTTATTTATTTTTGGTTATATGTTAAGTTAGATTATTACCAATTTCTATGCAGATGTGCATGTAGGGTTGTCAAGGGAGGTGAATAACAACGTTTTAGAGCAAAGAAATATGGGATCTAGACCAAGTACTTTTGTTCTACAGAATTGCAGCTACGAGTCAGTTGCACTAGTAAGATGTCTAATAACGATTTATTACTTAATTCTCCTTACTCTCTCCGTTCGTTAAAGATTATGTATATAGGTGTAATAATTTCTGATGATTATATGGTAGTCATCCTTAAAACGATTATCATTATACTAATTCTTTATTGGCTGATTTTGATTCATTTTTTAATGTCAAAATTAATTATAAGTCATCTATCTAATTTTTAAAATACATTTATTAATTTTGAAATAATATTTTTATAATTTTCCTTAGTTTTTTTTTTATTATTACTGAAATTAAAAATAATTCATAAATTAACCATAAAAATATTAAAAAATAAATTTTAAAAATTAAAAATATTTATAATAAATTTTGACATAAAAAATTAATGAAAAATCAGTCAATAAAAAATCAGTATAATAATACCATAAAATTATTTAAAAATTAATGAAAAAGTAGTTTTTTTCTGGCGGGATAGTTATTTTAAAGATGAATACCATAGAATTTTTATAAATGATGCTAAAACTCTCTAACATTTATTTTCCTTTGCATGCAGCCAATCCCGAAGCCAATAAATATTGGTGTAGGATCAGAAATTGAAGAGGATAAGATGATCTTATTAAGAGATAAGAGCAAGAAAATTTGGGATGTGAATATCGAGTTAAGTAAAAATAAGGTTCAATTCAAAGATGGGTGGGAGAAATTTTGCCAAGACCATAATTTGCAAATTGGTGATTTCTTGGAGTTAAAATATCAAGGTTACTTGGTTTTCGACGTTTCTGTTATTGTTGATCCTACTGCTCGTAAGCACGAATTTTCAACGCTTGATAAAACTTTTATTTTTTTATGGAAATTTTGTTAACAGCTACTATTTATTTTTAATTTTTTTTTAAAAAAACTACCATAAAAATACAAAAACTTTGAATATCACTACCACATGTTTTTCCGACAAAAATCTCTGTTTTAGGGCGTATTTTTTAAAATTTTCTACCAAAAACCCCAAATTAACCTAAATTAGGTAATACACATCAATTGCCCTAAATTTTTCCCCAATTTTGCGAAACCCTCAATTCAATTTTTTGGTTATGAACCCTAATTTTAATATTCAATTAAGAAATTAAAACATTTACTATGTAGAATTAATGACAGTTTACATGTAATTACGTTCGGCTATAGAATTCCCTTGTTATCAATTCTCTACCGCAATTGATTGAAACCTTATAAAATGAGCTTCCTCAGCCGGAGATTCTTGCCGAAAATTAATTGTGGTAGTGCTACCCAAAGTTTTTGTAATAGTTTTTTTTTTTTATATTTTACCTTTTTTGTTAGACAGTTACTATTTAAATAGAAATAACTTTTAGAAATGAAAGAAAGAGCATATAATATATAACGGAGAAAATATTTTGTTATATGTCGATTTTATTAGCAATTCATATGCAGATGTCGATGAAAGGTTATCAAATAGAACGGAGAACAACAAGGTTCAAGAGCAGAAAAATATTGGTTTTGATCCAACCGGGCATCCTTATTGTACTTTTGTTTTGATGAATCATAGCTACAAGTCAGCTCAGCTGGTAAGTATACTTTAATTGTATGTATAAATAAACACGTAGGTGTCATATTATCGTGTTAGATTACCATAGATGGGTACTTAACATACTTCCTCCATTTGAAGTTCTCTTGTATAGTTTGATCAAACTATACCTAAGGGCTTGCTTGATTTCAGTTCAGTTCAGCTCATTTCAGCTCCAATCGGTTCAGTTCAGTTTAGGTCCTAATTTCCTTCTCTCATAAAATATTCGTATCAACTAAGTTCAGTTCAGTTCAGTTCAGCTCAGTTTAGTAAATGTGAACAGACACTAAGTCTCTAAACGGAGGAGGGTGTATATTAAAGGCGAAAAATCCTTATATGAGTTAGTACTATATAATATATATATATATATATAATATTACTAACTCATACAAGGATTTTTGCAAGAAAAAATGGTGTGATTATGGTAATTAATTATATATATAGTACTAACGAATATATATATTTGTGTCACCTATTATAATTATGGTGTGATTATGCAGTTCATTCCGTTGGAATTTGCAAGAAAAAATGGGCTAGACAAGAGGCAATACGTGGGGATAATAGATGAAAAAGGACGTAAATGGGTGCTACCTTTCAAATATACCAAGGGAAAGTATGCTTATATTGGAAAATTGCGAGGTTTATATGGTGCCAATGGCTTCAAAATCGGAGATTTTGTCATTCTTGAGCTCATTCAATCCGAGAAAGAACCTGTCATTAGATTTCATAATCTTCTAAGATGGTAATTAATTAAACTTTAATTTTTTTTTTCTATCGTACATAATGTAATGTCAAATGGAGTAATTCTTATCATCTTAGAATGAGGTCACTTTTGTACTAGATTCTTAATTCTACCGCACGTGTTTTTTTTAGCTCACTTTGAAATCTTAAATTAGGTTTTCAATTGGGTGAGTAATCAAGCCTCATAATCAAGTATGAGTCAGTTTTGTCAAATCTGATTGCACGTTATTTCATGAACTATTAGATTACACGTATAATGTTTAATTTATGGTATTATTCAATCAATAATCACTCTAAAATCTAATAAATCAAGCTCTTGCATGAAATTCCAAAACATCAACACAACTCTCCTTAGAAAAAACAACATACATGAACAAAACCACCCTAATATGGCTTAAACTAATGCAGGGTAAGGCAGAGTAGCAATGTGGTTATGAGCCACAGTTCCTATCCAAAGTTTACCATTAACCTCTCTAACTTCACTCACTAATTGCATCACAACACCTTGTTTATCTTCCAACACTTCAATGATCTTCCCATCCTCATTGAAAAGCGAAATCACGGTGTACATCTTCATCCCCATTAGCCTAGCCAAGATCTTCAAGGGTAGTGGCAGCCTAAAATACATTCGTCTTAGCCACGGGTTGTTGATCATCACCTCTTGTGGTGCTGTCCTACAACAATCTATAGCTACCCAAAATTCGCCCTTTTCGTTTAGTCTTACGTTGTCTGGAAACCCTGGCAAGTTTGCTACCACCTCTACTTGTCCTGTTTTTGAGCCTTCAAGCCACAACTTCATAAGCCTGTGTTACATGTAACAAGTTTCTTAGCATCACCCGTCGAAAATATTGTACTAAAATACTAATCACTCGTCATATGAGTTATGATCTAAAAATTATCTAGGCCATGTTTAGAAAATTGAGTTAAAATATCTTAAAATGGTTCTTATTTTTGTGACGGTCCAAATAGAAATATGGTTTATTATTCAGAGATTAGCGAAGTGTATCTATTACTAGTAAAAAAAACAAAAAAAAAGCATGTTATTAGAGTGAAAGGAGTATGATTATAACCTGCAATTAGTAGTTTCAGTGAAGAGGAGAAAAGTTTGATCTTTTGATAATTGAACTCCATTAGGAAAAGCCAAGCCATCCAATACAACATGTGTTTCTTTGGTAGATGGATCATATCTTAGAAGCCTACCTGTGGCTTCTCCCTCTAATAATATCAAGAAGTGGTGCCTGTAACAACCCAAAATCGTGTAAGTTATTTTGAAACGGGGAAAGTAACTTAAAATAGGTGACAGATCTTGTAATATAGATTACGAGTTACAACACATAAAAGTAGTGCTAAATACATCTCCAAGACAAATTTTAAGTGGTTTTCGACGTATTTAGGAACATTTTGAATTATCTATACAAAAGGAAGAAAATGTACTTACACTCTATTGTATCTCTTGCTAGTATCAGTGAAGAAAATTGAGCCATTTTTGTGAATATCAAGATCATTTGCAAAAAGTATGGGATCTCCATCAACATGGGTTGCCAAAGGAGTAGCAAGACCACCTTCAGGCCCAACAACAAGAAGCCCATAATATGCATCAGCAATGTACAAATTTCCTGTTTTTTGATCGAACCTAAGGCCCAATGGGCGCCCACATAATTGCTCAAACTTCCATTGCTTTGCTGTTGTTGAGTCAACTCCTTTCCCACATAATTTCATTGACCTTTCAAAATGCATTAGCAAAATTTAAGCAATCTCAACAATTACATTAAATGAAGTGATTTAAAATCTTTGAAAATAGTTAAAGTATCATAACGTAAACCGATATGGTTTTTCGAGTAAAGAAAAACACATTTATTATTAGATTGTCTTCTCTCAAGAGTGAAACCTAACTTATTGTAAACCGATATAATTACCGAAAACTAACCAGGTTGATGTCACAGTCGCAAATGTTTCCCACCCAATTTTCTCACCCATCCATCTTACAACTCGACCATCTGCCAATCCGGTATATGGGCCTCGGCCCAATTTATCAAACTCCAATGATTCTGGGCCAAAAACTTGATCAACAAACTCCAATTTACCGTGTTGGCCCAATCGACTTTGGTTGTCTCTAGGCCAATTTTTCATAACTTCATTGTAAGGTGCAATTTGATTCTTAATAGGCTTGAACTCATACCCTCCCAAAGGACCCAATTCAAATGGATCCATTATAATAAACCCTAATACAACAACTAACACAAGAAGATAAGGGTGTTGCAACAAAGCCTCATCTTTAATTGCATTTTTCTTCTCCATTTTTGTTAATCTTGACAATTATTTTGGCTTCTAGAAGGAAAATGAAGGATGAAAAAGATAGATGTTATGCAAAAAAAGAAGGTGAGAAGTTCAAGCTCCTTTTGGTAGGATTTAGAAGAAGAGCATGTATTACTTGTGACAAAGTTTTATAGTTGGTTTTGGTTGAGGGTAAGTTTGTTCTTTTGATCTGTTGGCCAATGACATTTGTACTGTTTATAGAAACTACATATGAAATGAAAAAGACAATATCAAAAGTTATGAATATTGTGTGATATAACCCATGAATGATTGTTTACTTTACATATATAAGAGCTTGTTTAGTTGTTTTAGTACCACTTATTAAAACATACTTGAAAATAGAGAAGATGAAACCAAAATTTTGTCATGAATTTAAGTCCCACTTGTATAATTGTTTTGATAGACTCATATAGAAGTTTGTTTGGGCTCTTTCCATGCTAAAAGTACATAATGCATGATAATACAACATATATGTATCTTTCTAGCGTTACTGTGTTTATCTACTTTAAAAGAAATTTGTTTTGGCTCTTGTAGAGTTTTAGATAGTAAGTTCACTTATTTACTAAAAACATAAAGAAAGATGCAAAAGATTACCTCAAAACTAATTTTGAAATGTCAAGCAAGTCACCCTTTGTATGATGTCCAATTTAATTGGCAATTTATTGTGTTCATCTATTGCCAATTTATGTTTGCATCCTTGTACTCCTATTAATAGATGTCACAAGCTTGCTGGAAATGGAATCTCGTTAAATATCATAGGAGTAATAATTCGACAATAATTATTTAATTTTATGGGAGATCTTTTTAGATAAGTATGTTTTGAATTTCCGAATATATAATTGAGACATTGTTTTATTACAACAATGCATTAGTTACTCCATACAAACAATGCAAGATTTCAAACAACATGACACATAAAAACTAAAAAGAATTAAAGGGAGTACCACGTACAACTCTACAAGGATCGCATTAGCACAAAGGGTTAGGTTATTGGCGCATAACTGCTATTTACATGGCAAGTAAATAGCAGCTACAAGACAAAAGAGTGGTGAATTATTATTTTTTCTAGTGTACTGTTACCTATAAGGCTATAATGACTATAAATGGTACCACTAATTAAAACAACTTATACTATAGTAGTATAAAATACATGTATAATAGTACATTAAAAAAAAAACCACAGTAAGTATAATAGTAAATTAAAAATACCATTGTACCAATTAAAAATACCATTGTACCAATAAAATATCACAAAAATTAAGTGAATTTACTAGTTAGCCCTCTTATATGCATCTCAAACAAATAATAGTTATGCACCTAGTTGCACTTAGCACGAAGCAATATGAATTTAAGGCATAGTTTTATGGTTAAGTCTTGGCGCATAGCGCCTATTGATTTCAGCGCATATAGGATGACAATTTTACAAATTAAATAGTACTATTCAAAAAACTTATACTTTAGTGGTACATTATACATGCATAATGGTACTTTTATGTACCATTAGAGAGTCAGCTTTTTCCAGAAGTTGAAACTTTATTTTAGAATGGTAAAAAGTACCACTACTCTCGTAATATATAGTCCATAAAACGTATTATTCAAACAAATTATATTATAGTGGTACATTATATATGCATAATGGTACATTATAATGTACCACTACAAAGTCAGCTTTTTCTAGAAGCAATAATTGAATTAGCGAAAATTACTTCCTTACCCTCCTATTTACATAGCTCGCCCATAGGTGCTATGCACCCAGACTCAAATGTTCCAGTCTTATTTTTTTTAAAAAAAGAAATGGTCCAATATATTTGAGTGATTTCCATGGATATGGCTAAAAGAACTAAAATTTCCTCAATTGCTCTACTTTTTATAAAATTAGGGCAGTAATGCACACGATGCGCGTGCCATAGCTAGTTATATCCGGAATCTCTTTCGGTTGGCCTTACATCACAAATTTAGTTATAGGCAATATTATTAATGAGAGAAAATATGTGAACACATATATTTAGGGGTATAAATGTTCACACGCTATTCTTAAGAGTAAAAAAAGGTAATTATCGTTAATGAAGGCAATTAAGTAAATAAACATTTTAGATGGTATAATTATCCAAACACTATTTATTTAAAAAGCTTGTACAAATTAATGAGGGAGAATAAGTAAATACACATTTTGAAGGGTATAATTAGCATCACACTAATTTTAAGAGTAATCTTGTACTTTTTATAAGGTAGAGAGATAGAGAGTCCTACATACAGTCCACGTCCACGTCTTCCAACCTCTTTATATATATATATATATATATATATATATATATATATATATATATATATATATATATATATATATTCCTGGTTTAGAGCAATACCACTAATTGAATTAGTAATTTTACCTTACATAAAACGGATAATTAGCGGTTTTATGGTAATTTGTGTTACCGCTAATTGAATTAGCGGTTATACGGTAAAATCGATAATTCATTTAGCGGTTTTGTACACATCCCAAAAAAAAAAGTGTGTAATTATGGAATTTTGATTTCTTTTAAAAATATCATGAAAATCACTCAATCTATTTGATTGTTTTGAAAGGTGTATAAAAAAACCGAAGACAGGATACCTCAAAGTGAATAATTTATCAAGAGATGATACTAATAAAAATCTTACTTACGCTAATTATTAGTCAATCCTTTTCTTGGTAAAAGGACTAAAACATTTCTTGTCTTCATACTTAAGTAGAACTCCGTATAATCTTTGTTTAATAACATGTAAGGGTCTGTTTACATTTACTGAACTGAACTGAGCTGAGCTGAACTAAACTGAAGTGAACTGAATAGAGCTGAAACGAATATTTTATGAGAGAAGAAAACTAGGAGCTGAACTGAAATGAAATAAACTAAACTGATTGGAGATGAACTGAACTAAACTGATTAGAGCTGAACTAAAGTGAAGTGAACTGAAATTAAGTTGGAGTGAATAGGCCCTAAATTTATTCAATAGAAAAATGTAAAATTTTGTGTGCCTAAAATTATGTTTTTTGATATGTAATTTAAGCATATAAATTAATCATGTTCAGATCAAAACGTTTGAGATGCTCTTCGGTGTGGCTAGAAATAGATGCATCCAAAGATCTGTTTGTTTGTTTGTATTTTTTTTTTTTTTTTGGATTTGAAGATAATGAAATGAGAAAAAGATATCAACTAAGCAAGAAAATACCACTGTCATGGTCCGGGATTTTAGACCCCGAAATGCCCTAGCCTTGAGCGGAAGAGGGGCTTGTAAGCACAAAGCAACACAAGCAGACAATTAAATAAAGGAGCACTCACGCTTATCTGGCGACGGAGTGCGGGTGGTAGGGGCTTGAGATGGCTGATACTTCAAGGCGGGCACAAGCGGGTCCGAACCACGAGCTCTTAGTGCGTCAAGTTTGTTTGGAGGGGAGCTAATATGCAAGTAATTAGACACAATATCTATAAATAAAAGGTCTAACAACAAACAAGCATAAAAGCAAAGCAACACTTGGTTCAGTTCAGTAAAAACAAGTTCAATACAGTAAAAATAAGTTCAATTCAATTCAACTCCAATTAGTTCAGTCCAGTTCAGCTCTGATCAGTAAATGAGAACATGCCTTAAATTATAATAGACCTTTTTTAGGTGAAAATTTCAAAATTACGCTCCGTTGATCACTTCACCTTATTGTTGCGGAACTGAAATTATTTTTATTGAACTAATATTACTTTTGCTGAATTTAAATTATTTTAACTGAACAGAAACTAATTTTACTAAACTGAAATTATTTTTGCTGAACTAAAATTATTTTTATTGATTTTCTATTTCATTTATTCTTTAAGTTTACTGATTTTTACTAAATAGAAATTAATTTTATGATTCGAAATTATTTTTGCTGAACTGAATTTATTTTTACTGAACTAAAATTAATTTTGCTAATATGAAAGTATTTTTTTACTAAATATTATTAATTTATGGTGAAGTGAACATGGTCTTATTTTACAAGTTGGCCCTATTCACTTCACCTTAAAAAAAATATTAAGTTAAAATAATTTCAATTCAGTAAAAATTATTTCAGTTTAGTAAAAATAATTTCAGCTCAGTAAAAATAATTTCAGTTCAATAAAAATAATTACAATTCAGTCAAATTCAATAGTAATAAATTATAAAGAACAAATATATATAATAGAAAATCAGTAAAAAAAAAATTACATTTAGCAAAAAATAATTTCGGTTCAGCAAAAATCATTTTAGTTCAGTAAAAATAATTTAAGTTTAATAAAAATAATTTAAGTTTAGTAAAATTAATTTCAATTTAGCAAAAATAAGGTAAAGTGAACGGGACCTTTGAGTAAAACTATCTAGATCCTTTTTAAACAACACACATATAATTGAGATATTGTTAAATTATACTTCGTATATATATACTTCCGGGTGCATGGTACATCCAATGGTATATGTTTGCTCATTTGATGATAAAATGAGCAATGATCTGATAGAGTTATGAGAAAGTGAATGTTGAAAAGCTTAATTATATTGATGTAATTCCATGAGTATATATAGTACATGAGTAAGCAATATAATACGACTAGATACATTGGAGTACTTGTCTAGGAACATTAGCTAAGAATAAGGGATATCTTTGATCATCAATCTAAAGAGTAAATCAAGGGATTGCTAACTATAAACAATATCAATAAATATGATTTGATCAAATCCTTTACACGCCCCCGCAAGATGGACGGCCAAAGGGAAAGTACAATCTTGTAAAATGAATGTTCTTCTTGATTGTTGATTGCCACTTCAAGATATTGGTGGTCCTTCAATTGAGAGTTGTGCGTACCAAATTGGGAGTTAAAAGAATTTTAACTCAAGGAGGGGAAGAGGGGAAGTGAGATATAGAGGAAGGATGAAATTTTGAACATTTTTATAGGAGAAGAATTACATTTAGTATCATTAAAAGAAAAGAGTTTGAGAATCTCCATAAAAGTTTGGAGAAGTGAGTTTATATTTGGCAACACTTGGTAGATAGACTACGTAGGCCAAAAGGGGATTGTTTCTCCATGGGGGGGGGGGGGGTGGAGAATTGAGTTTATGTTCGACAACACTTGGTAGACAAATTATAGGGTGTTGGAAAGGGATTGTTTCTCCATAAGAGGTTCGGAGAAAAAAAAAAGATAATTAGCATCTCTTGGTATATGAAATACGGAGTGCTAAAAGAGTTGAGCGGAAATTTGATTTGGGTTTGAAGCTTTCTAAGAGGGAAGGGAGCACGAATATGGTCACTATCATTTGTCGGCATCGGCAAAGGGTTTTGATAGTGTAGCCATGGTTATAGCGGAAGCAAGAAAAGATGGATCAAAATCTCATGATACCATGATAGAGTTATGAGAAAAGAGAATGTTGGAAAGCTTAATTATATTGATGTAATTCCAT